TGGTAACAAATAGATAGCAGCAAGTATAATGCAAATTGATTCTACCACAATTGCGGTGATCTCAACAATATGAGCGGCGTCAATCATGTTGTGGTTATTTCAAATAATCGTTTGTGTTAAAGTAGTGATACTTATATAGAGATAACTACTAACATTTTTCTAAATGGAATTAAATGAAAATGAGTATTCTCGAGCAGCGCATTATCTTCTTTTTTCTTGTTTTTTATTCTCATAGTTCATCAGAGGATATAACTAGAAAATAAAAACTTCACCGCGTAGATGCATATGTAGCCTGGAAAGTGTTTTCCGCCTCATCTCTCTAACAGCTCGAGACAATATATTTATAATACTTTAATAGTGCAAAATAAATATATGTCATAGTGAACGTGAGATTTCAATTGCGTCTGAAGTATGCAAAGAAAAACAATTAAAAATAAAAACTCAGTATCAAAAAGCCTATTTTCTTGAAAGAGTAAAGTCTTAAGAATGATATGATACGACCGACTTGTAAAGCGTTTCATTAGAAAAAAGTGAAATTGAAGTTAATCGATGCAAGATATAATAAATAAATATCTTATGAAGATATTAGTATACTTTTTTTATTCTAATAAGTTTGTAAAGTGAGAGATTCTTAAATTATGAATATATTTATACATTACCTAACAGTTATGCTATGTCGACGGTATGGATCACGCATGAATAGAATTTATTGTACTATTACCATAAAATTCAAAACTCAGTATACATGAAAAAATACGTCGCGACAGATTTCTTTCTGTACTTTGCTGATAGATAAAGCATAATTCGTCGCATATTTTTTGAATATTGAATGGACATTGATGTAGAGAATATCAACACTATTCATCTGCAAATTAATTATGTAAGTTTCGTTGATTCATTGAATTATCATTATTTATGACAATGTGAACAACTACAATACTGTCTATGTCGACGTTTCATTCTAATGCACTTTTTTTCTTTTTCTCTAATCAACTCAACTAATTTATCGAAATTTATATCACTATCTAAATTATCTAAGTACCAATGTAATCCTAAATTTCTCTGATATTATTTCTATTTATGTTATTTCATGGAATCAAATAAAAATTTTATGACGACATGTTATTTATTTTTTCTTTCGCATTTTTTCTATTGAAAGAACTTCTCTATACCAGTGGATTTTATACTCACAATTTATAAAAGCAATGGAACAAGGAATATGTCACTCTATCAAATAATGAATTCTAAATAAATTCAGTTTCAAAATTATCTAGATTATTTTTATTGTATGAAAAGTGACTTGTTATGAATTATCGATAAGAAAGATAAGTTGATTTGTGTTTCATATTGAATTTGGTATATGGTATAAACTGTAGACAAGTTAAAACATATGGTGCAGATTTGTTTGTTATTACAATTCTCATTTTCTTTTATTTCACACAATTCATTTTTCTCTCTCTTTCTCAACAAGGTCTTCTTTCATCATTTGGTGAACTTCAACATGCATTATCATCAAAATCTCAAAAAAAAACCTTAACCAATTTACTTTTTAGCTGAAACATTTGAAGATGCAAAAGAAAAACTACGTCGATTTGCTAAATCGTTAAAACGTCCTTCTGAACTTGTCTATGAGGCACATACTTCATAAGAATGGAATGAACTTTCGAGTAATTTGATAAACGAAGAAAATCAATGATTTATATTACTGAAACATACAAAAAGAACAGAATATTTTTTTTCTTCTTCTTCTTCTTTCGAGAACTAAGCAAATTTAATAAAATATACGAGCAAACAAAGATATTTTTCAAAGTTTTTTTCTTCGCGAGGCGTAAAATTCGTTGACACAATTTCATATGTATATATGCGCGCGTGAAACGTTTAGAGATGAAAGAAGTATGTTTCTATCGACATTTGACTTGACACACACCGGTCGTTCAACTGATATCAACACCTCATAATGCACACGGGACGGCGAGTTTCAGAAGCAAGCGAGAATGACATATGGTGTTAAAAGTCGTAAAAAAATTGAATTTTTTATTTTTTTACTCATCAAAATGTAAAGTTAATTCATAATGTAGAAGAAGAAGAAGAAAAACGGTTAGCCATTGTCTTCTTGGATTTTATAATAAGCGCGTGTACGCTCTGATCGTCACAGTCAGTGTTCATCCCATCTCTAATTAGCGTAAATTTTCAAATGAAACATCTCTATAATTGAACAAGTGCGCGTCCAAACACCTCAAACAGGTCGAAACTCTGTAGGTGGTCAGCAATGATGACTAGTTACACGTTTTTTCTGTTTTTTTTACCGCATAGGTAAAGTTATTGATCCATGAATTTTTGTTTATGGTGATGATAGTGACTTCAGGCGACATTCAAAAAAGGGTGTGGACATGTGAAAAGAGCAGCATGTATATACATATATATATAAGTTATACAATTAGAGCGATGTTTTTTTATCACAATAAATTGCAATAGAAATAACTGAATATAATCATGGAAAAAATATGACCATGTGTATTACATCGATGAATAAAACATTACACTCTTTGATATTGAAAGACGATGTGTAAATATAAAAATCTTACAAGTTAATTTTAGAAAATAAAATAAATTTAATGTAACATTATCAAATTTTCTTGTTTTTATCTATCAAAAATATATGATCACTTTGATGTGAATACATCCATTTACTTGTCTTCTTGATCCCGATGTAAATAGTTGATCAGAAGATATATAAACACAGCATGCGACTTGTTTTATATATTTATCTATCTGTTAGTACAGTCTGGCTACTAATAATCAATTTCTTTTTCTCTATTCTTCGAAGGTGACAAACCGATCACAATTAGACTGCTTATGCATGCAGTGCATAAAACGGCAAATGAGTAATAGTGCAAGATCAATCATTTGTTTTCTACATCCCTAAAACGTAATAATAGCAATAGTGAACATGCGGTGAATGCAATTGTGCGTAAAATAGACTCGATTTTTAATTTCATTCGGTTTGAATTAATCTTTAATGTATTAATTCCAAACAAATTTATATACATGAAATCAAGCATAGCATATAATCTTTTTCTAAAAAATTGATCGTTGTATTCAATATGAATTAATGACTAAATTGAATCTATTTAACTACAATATAGGTATTTCATGTCTTTATTACTATCAATTTATCCATTTTATCGCCGACACTATGTCGTTCATATATATATATATAAACATTTATCCAAGATCGAGAATTTTGATGAAAGACAACAACATTGTCAAACATATTGTGCTTCTTTTTCTTGTTTTTATTTGAAATGTTCTAAATACGCGTGGACACAAGGTTATGAATATTGTTTTCATTCTTATTGATACCTTTGTGACATAATGAACGATTAAATTGACACATTTCTTAAACCATTAGGTTTTTCTTCTTTAATAGAAATATATTATCCGATAGGATCAAAGCAATAAATAGTGTTAAATATAGCAGCAATGGTAGCCGATCGAAGAAGAAAAAAGATAAACATAGCTTAAAGCAGCAAGCAACTTGTTGATTCCAATTTTCAGCATCAGACATTTATGTCAAAGAGATGCGGTATTAAAATTGATCGTATGATAAAATAAATGAATTCATCTTATTGAAAAACTTCTTTTTCCTTTAAACCAATTCTCGATTTAATCATTCTCTTAGCACATTGAATTATTATTACTCTAATTGATTAAATTTCGAAAATTGGTCTTAGCTCTTTACACTCACACATATATTGGTGTCATCTCTCTTTTACTTCTAACAGAGAAGATCTATTAATATGTATACATATAGATGTGTGTGTGACTTTTTTTTTATTCGGATGTTGTACCTATCGATTGAAAGAGCATCTATATAATTAGGTGTAATATAAAAATTATTCTCTAATCGTTGTGTGATGATTTTTATCTGAACTAGGTCGCATCAGATAATATATTTAATAATGTCCGATCAAACTATAAATGCCCTACAACGTTTTTCTCATCATTGTAAAATATGATCCATTTTCGAAACTTTGTTGTATATTTAACATCTGATTGAAACAGAAAAGCAAATTAGTCCATATGCTTTTTAAAATGACAAGCATCATATATTTTGTTGCCATCAGGCTGTGATGTAATGCTGTCAAGTCGACTCATCTTTTTAATCTTGTTTTGCTTTCACTTAAAACACATGCGATAGGCTAAACGTGTGGAAACAACAAACTGACAATTGTTAATCGAAAGGGAAAGGAAAAGAAAAAGAAAACGAATTAAACAAGTCAATATAGATCACAGTCAGTTGTGATTCTCAAAAAGAAAAAGTTATTTACAAACATTTCTTTTTGCGATTCGGTTAGGATCTCGAGAGATCTTCTATTGTCATATTTGATTTGCATTTTTGATGTTTATTTTATTTATAATGACATATGTACCGTATGGTTCACTTGTTCATTTGACACCTTATCAAACGGAAACAACGAACTTATTCTGCTATCTATTTCTCTCACGATCTCACTTATTTGGCCTCTCTTTTTCTTCGCTTTAATGAGCTCATCGTTCGTTTTAACTTTATTTTTTGGTCGATATACAATTTGTTTATACAACAGCTGGAATAATTGAATATTAATTTAACTGATGATTAGATCAATAAATAAAATATATACAATCGTCTTAAACACACAGGTGACTATCTATTTATCTTAAGAAATAAAATTTTATATTATAAGAAGTTTAGATTAGAATTATTGATTGAGAACGAGTATATAATTCTCTTACATTTGATTGGTGGATAATCGTAGAAGAAAAAAACGCGAAAGAGAGGGAAAGAGAGAAGAGATGAGGAGCAGAAAAAAATAGGAGAAGAAAAAAAAAACACTATTGTTTCTTTTATTATCAACAGGAAACAGAAAAGAGTGTGTTTTTTATCAAGTTTTTCTTAGTGCTGAAGAAGGGTGTGGTAACTTTGAGTTTGTGTGAAAAAAAATTATCAAAAGATTGTCATGCTTGACGACAATAATCTTTTCCAACGTGCTGCTTCATCAGCCTACGCATCTATGGCTGCATTTACTGCTGCTGCAAATATGTATAATTCATTTTATCCATCAACATCAAATTCAAATACAACTATGGATCCGGTGAATTATTTTGGTTGTTCAGGTATTGATTCTGAATTTTTATTTTCAAGAATAAAAATAAAATGTAATACTTTTAGATATGAAAAGAGAAAGACTTGATTCAAAAGTTCGAGTTAAACTTGATGATATGGATTTATGGAGTCGATTTTATACATTAGGAAATGAAATGATTATAACAAAGTAATATTATTTTTTAATATTTTAACTAAATAAAAACAATATTTCAATCTAAGTAGGAATGGTCGTCGTCTATTTCCTAATCTTCGGGTTTCTGTTAGTGAACTTGATCCAAATACAAAATATATGATTCTATTAGATATTGTTCCTATGGATGATAATCGCTATAAATATCATGAATCTGCATGGAATATATCTGGTAAAGCTGAACCACATATTTATGGAAGGTAAAATTAAAATCTCTTATATGATTATGATTCATTAATTGATTATTATTTAGATATTATGTTCATCCTGATAGCCCACAAACAGGTTCACAATGGATGAAACAATCAATTCTTTTTAATAAAGTTAAAATAACAAATAGTCCAATGCAAAATCCTAATCATGTAAATATTTCTTGAGAAGAAAAACAAAATTTTAAATTCTATTTTTTTGTTCTCCTTATTTAAAGATTATTCTTAATTCAATGCATCGTTATATTCCTCGTTTACATATTGTACAAGCATCGGATAGTTATTCTATGCGAACAGGTCCTTTAAGTACATTTATTTTTGAAGAAACAGTGTTCATTGCTGTTACGGCTTATCAAAATGATCAAGTAAAAATTTTTGTTTTACAAATTATAGAACTAATTTGTTTCTTATTCTAGATTACTAAATTAAAAATTAATAATAATCCATTTGCAAAAGGTTTTCGTGAACCAACTCATGTTAAAAAGTATATATTTACATTCGAAATAAACAAATGTTGTATTTTCTTTTTAATAGAATTAATTCTAAACCATTGAAACGTCTTCAATCATGTCTTCCATCTGATAAACCATTAAAATATGATGAAAATCTTCATCGTCCATATAAATGTGATTCATCATTATTATCAATAAATTCCAATTCACCACCATTACAATCGACAATGCATGGAGCTATAGCTGATTCTACGACACCAACATATTTAGATAATAGTGTTGGTGATCATGAACAAGACAGTGATATAAATTCAATGAATTTTTCAACATCATATCATCAACATTTTCCATCAAATTCATTTTACAGTAGTTATGCCAGTGATCCAACACCAATGATTTATAATCCGGCTTATACATATATGGGACCAACATCAAATCAAATACCATCAACATCTACTCCAATGCATTTTAATCCGTATGGACGTTATCCAACATCAGTTTATCAAACAAATAATTACAATCCATCATTTTTTTGACATAAGAATTTTTCTTCTTCTTTTCTTTTTTGTTTATTCATTTTTTTTTGTTGTTTTTCTTTTTTGTCTCGTGTATATTTATTCAATAAAATCTAACAATCAATTTGAAATGATTTTACTTAATAGAATGTAAAACTCAATGTGTCAATGCATATTAAATAAAATACATTTACGAGAAAAAAAAATATGAATAGTTAATTTTAATTTAGTAAATGGGATTTTCACACTATTTCAATGTATCCTCTTGTGAATCAATGACAATATTAAAAAAACTAATAGAAGGAAAAAAAAGACTAGTTTTTTAATGTTGCTCCCTTTTACTCTCTCCGTCTCTCTATCCATAAACGATTATAGTCACACATCATAAAAACTAAACGTATGCTTATAGAGTAGTAATAGTCGAAATTGCAATAAATATAAATGTTTATTGAGAAAGAAGAAGAAGAAGACGACGACGACGGAGAATATTGACTACCTTTCAAATATTTTGATGAAAAAGAAGAATTGTTTTTTCTTTCTATTCTCGTTTCTTATTGGATGAATACAATCATTGGACGAGAACAAAATATTCTCTGTCTCTCTCTCTCTCGTTCGCTTTTCTCTCGTTGTGTGACAGCATTATGCCAATTGTTTTGACTTGAACATAACGATATACGTATCGATTAAATTACATCATAAATGTTATCCTATTTACAACCTCAACTAGGACCTGAATCGATGCTTGCCATCTGTTCAACATCTTCGGATGAAGGAAATAAATCAATATATCCAAATGAAGATGATACTGATGGAATTTTCAATCCTACATCTACAGCAATAGTAACAGCTTCTTCATCTTCACGTATTTCATATTCTCATCCACATCATCATCCTCATCATCATCGATCACCAGTACCATTCGTTTATGGACATACAACAACACCACCAGCATATGGATTTGGTTTTGGTTTATATGAAGATATGTCTTCGTTTACTGGTAAATATTCAAAAAAAAAGAAAGTTTATAAAATAATATTTTCTAATCATATGAATTTAGATACAAGTCGAACACCATATACATTTATTCATACAACAAAACGTGCTGATCCAAATATAGATGTTAAACTTGAAAATCTTGATCTATGGAAACGTTTTGCTGCACTTAATTTAGAAATGATTATAACAAAAAATGGACGGTAAATAAATATATATATGTATATCGAATTTTTGATAGAAATTTTATCGAAAAATAATTAGCTGACAAGCTCTTTTCTCTCACTTGATTGTTCTCGTCATTTAAGTGGACTAGTTGATCAAGTTGTATGTGTATGCTCTGCTCACCTTATTGCCTCAATCTCTTGAGAGATGTGCGTTCATGCCCAGTTGGTGTTTTATATATTGAGTGGGTGACATGACCACTGTTGGATACATCTGCTCGTTGACTGACGCTTCCTTATTGTCTGACGTCAATGATGGTTGAAGAACTAATTGATTTTTTGTTCTTAACGCACAGTAGTAGTCAATGTTTACATATCAATATTTTTTTAGGCGTATGTTTCCAACCTATAAAGTTTCATTATCTGGACTTGATCCAGCAAGCAAATATATAATCTATATGGATGTTGTACCAGTTGATAATCATCGATATAAACATCATAATTCTCAATGGATGATTACTGGTGCAGCTGAGCCACATAGTAAGTTTAATATCTTAAAATTAAGACATATAAATAAAGATTTTATTCGTTTTTTTTCTTCTTAGTGCCAGGACGATTTTATCCTCATCCGGATAGTAATTCAACAGGAGCACAATTAATGAAACAACCATTATCATTCGGTAAACTTAAATTAACCAATAATACAGCTGATCAAAATGGACATGTAAGTTTTTCTTTTTTTTTAAATTTTTTCAACTAGTTTTTTTCTTTTTGTTATTGTTAGATTGTATTAAATTCTATGCATAAATATCTACCTCGTCTTCATATAATTCAAGCAATGAATTCATCAAATAATGATATAAAATTATCTATGGCACCATTTGATAATGTCAATGTATTCGTTTTTCCAGAGACTCAATTTATTGCCGTAACTGCTTATCAAAACGAACACGTAAATATTTCTTTTTATTTCTTGCTAAATAGAATATATATTTTATCTTTATTCTAGGTCACTCGATTAAAAATCGATAATAATCCAGTAAGTAAAATACAAAGAAAAAAAAGAAATATTATTTTAATTTATTCTTCTAGTTTGCAAAAGGTTTTCGTGAAAATAATGGACATGCAAGTCGAAAGTATGTATTAAATAATAGAATTAGATAATCGAATAAATATTGTTTATTATTAATAGAGATACAAAATCAGTCAAACGACATATTGAAAATGGTTATGAACGAAGACTTAAATGTGATGGTATAGATTATACTTTTCTAATTTAAATTATTTTTTACAACTACTTTCATTTTTCTTAAGATCTATATACAACACCAGAATCATCAAAACGACGTAAATCAAGTTCTGGAGAAGAAGATCAAACACCTCCATCACGTGTTGTACCTACAAGTAGTACAGTTGATGTTCCTGATTCAACGACTCCATTTACAGATTCCTATGAACATCAATTTCATTCTTCTCAAACACATTTCTATGATCCAAATTTATATGCATCGCCCTATTCTCGATTTACTCCAACATATCCATTTACTTATTCACCAATGGGACCAACTTCTTCAACCAATCCATTCACATTAGCAGCAGCTGCTGCAAGTCGTTATTCATCACCTTACACATTTCCGTCACCATACTACCAACATTCAACTTCATAAGATTTTCTTTTCTTTTTTCTCTTTTTTTTTAATTTGTCTATAAAACATTTAATCATAGTGTTTGTTGTTTTGTTTTTTCCAAATATAAATATACATACAGGTACAAAAATTAAATATGATTTTTTTTGATTATAATTTGAATACGTAAACGAATTATTTAATATTGCTTAACTATTCAATTAGACAATGGAATTTTTATTCTAGTATACTATGTGAACAAAATTATTACGAGCCAGATATAGTTTTAAAAGAAAATTGTTTTTAAAGATTTGTTGAATATGATGCTATTCGAGTAATTATCTTATATCAATACCTATCAAATCTTAAGATAATATTCATGTGCTATTCTTTGTTGACAGATTTTAGTTATTATTTCGAAGATATTTAATCGAATGATACATGAAAGAAAGCAACTGAGTCAATAGTATATTGTGAAGACTACAAATACTTGACGATTTGGTCGTATTAACGAAATGTTTCCTAATGGTACATAAATGCGCAAATTTATTCATTCGTATTAGATATGTTTCATATGTAAACTCAATCAATAATGAAAGGTTACTATTGTCTTTATCTTGCTGTTAATTAATGTTTAGAATCAAGGACAATAGCAGTTAAATATTCTGTAAGAACAGACTGCTGAATAGATTTACATCAAACATTCCTATAAAAGATAACGACTGAATACAAACAGATTTCCTATGGTTACTTGTTTGTCTTACTATATGTGTTCAAAGAAATATTTCACACTACTATAAATACAAAGCTTTTGTAGAAGAAATACTTTTTATTGCTATTTCTAAATGTCAAAAGGTGGCATGTATATCTATAGAAACTAATAATCTTTGTATAAGTAAATGTAAACAAGGTCAAAAGTATAGCAAGGAAAAGAATCGTAATTGGTTTATGAAGCATGTAGATAAACTTAGCTTATATATCATATGCAAAAAGAGCATATATGACGTCAATACCATATGAGTTCTTAGCTTCTGTTTTTGTCAGAAGTACTCAATATACATGATAAATCAATATTTAGAATTATTTATTTGACTGTTAATACATATTTATAATGAGATACATAAATATAAAGATAGTGTATTTTTATACTTTGCAGAATTATAATCATATTAATAAAATGAAAAGAAAAGAAAACATATTGTTATTTATTTAATTTATATCCATCCTGTTAATATTATATATGACGTGATAAACCAAAATTTTGACCAGCTTGACTTGCACCTTTGTTCATGCCATCATTAAGTAAACCAACCATACCTTGACCAGCACGTAATTGTTCGTCAGTAAAATCACGTTGATTAGAATCGGACATTTTTGGACCAAGTACTGGTCCATTAAATTTCTTTTTCTGTGCCTAAGAATAAATTAAAATTAGATTCATGATACTTTCAAATTTATATCAATTACATGTCGACCAAGTGCATGAATACATTGTGTTACTTGAGGAATATTACGTTTTTCAAAGAGATCTACTGTTTGAAATAGTTCAGAATCAGGTAAACCATAAGCACGAGCTGCAGTTTCTATTTATAAATCGATTAAATAAATAAATATATATTTTATTAATTCAACAACAAATACTTACGAAAAGCAGATACATTTTCACGTAATTTAAAACCACCGCCAGATGTACAAATCTTTCCAACTGAACCAGGTTGAAGTTTGTTAATTAATCTATCATCGTTTTATTGTATATATATATAATTGATTTATAGAGAAAAATAAAACATACTTGCATAAAAGTATACCATCTTTAAGTGCATCTTCATAAGAACCACTTGGAAATTTTTCTCCAGTAACTTCTTCAATCCATTGTTGAGCTTCACGATCAAGATCTACACTACGTTTTCCAGCAATCTAAATAATTTCGATCGATAAAAAACAAAGTTACAAAAGAAACAACTATTGTATAATGATATGTTTCTTATTTACTTCTTTTTACTGAAAAAAATGATATAGCTAAAATCAGTACTATCAACTAATTCAGAAATAATCTGTTTGTGTGTATATACATTAACTAACGATGATAGTAATATTATATTCATCAGTTATTATTATTATTGTAGAAGAATATAATATTTTTATGTCTATTAGATCTAGATAAGTTACAAAAAAAAGGTACGAAACAATTTCCTTACCTTTGCTTGATTTTCAGCTAGTGTTCCGTATGCAGGTCCGTAGTTAGCCATTTTTCTTTAATCTAAATATATGTACTAAATAGAAATGATCGTAATAGAGCAAAGAAGTAATACCAATGTGTAGCGACAAATAATTATCTAAATATTACCAACAAAGATATGTATAAAGTAGGCGTAGAAACGAAGAAAAGAGAGAAAAAAAGAGACAGAAAAATACGACAAGGATAATATTAGTTCTTTATAAGAAATATCACATTTTGTCCTTGCTAGAATTGTATGTTACTATATTTGGAAAATGATAGATGAAGTGATGTCATACAGAGATAATACGTGCAAAGATAATAAACTTTGAAAAAACGATATCCATAAATGAGTAAATATTTTCGAAAATTTAATCAAAAGAAAATGAATACAAAATACTCAATTCATATTTATAGTTACAGAGGAAGTTATATTATGTAGTAGTAGTACAGTCTTGCTTCAATGGTTTGATCGATGCTATAAAAATTAATATTTTTCTATTTTTAACAGCTGATATAGAAGTATTTGTATATCTTTGACATTGTTTACAATGGTGACAGATGATTTTTGTCATTTCCAAGGAAAGAAATCTCTTATTTCCTGTGTTATCATGTTTTCAACTACGCTTTGTTCTAGTTATTGAGGATGTCACATTATTAGAGATTGACAAACATAATGACAAGAAGATGTGTACTAGAAACAAATAAATAGATTGAAACTGCTTAAGATATTTTTTCATTTTAAAGTTTTCATGGACAAACACATATACAACAAAATGTCTCATTGGAATTGATTATATCTTTTTTCTATCGTATTACATGTTATGTCATTGATTATTGTCATCATCAGCTATCGTCACTATAACAATAGTATGCGATCAGAATAAACAATAATGGCAGCTGTTCTCTTCTTTATAGTTTCCCGAGGCATCTGTTTTCTTTTCTTCAATATATTCGAATAGTGTTGTCATATAGAATGCTACTGTTGTTGACTTGCGAACAATATCTTCTTACTTATAGAATATGCTAGAATATGTTGAATTGCTGGTATATTTTGCTATACATAATAATCTCATATATTTTTATTGAGTTTCTGATTAACATAAATGTTCTATAACAAATATTACTCTTATTTCAATCAAACATTCATCGATATGATCTTACTTTAAATTGTTCTAAATGAGTAATATTATACAATAATAATAAAGATATTCAATAGTCTTATTATGTCTTGTATTTCTATCGTACATTAAATACATTATTTGACATACTACAATGGTTACATTTTCAATAATATTATTTTCAAACTTGAGTAATAAATCAATTCTGATGAATTTAGGCAATAAAATTGAGTAAGAATGTCAGTTATCTATCTTCTTATACTTATTCATTGATATATAATAGGGCAGTTGATACTAATTGGATGTTACATATTACCGAAAGAGAACTGATGACATAATTATTGCTCAATATGCGCCATTATGAATAAAGATGTCAATTATACACTCATTGCATAAATATAAACAACTATAGAACTTTGATGAAAATGGTACTGCTTTATATGTAAATGACTAATTAATTTATTTCTTTTAGTTGATGTTTAGAGACTGTTGAATTTGATAATTAATACAACAATATAATAATTCTTTAACTAAAATTATTTTATTAGCAATCAATGATTTATTCGAGTAGTCTATATAGCTTACATATGCAACAGTAATACTAAACTATCATCATGTACTTACGTAGATAACGTTTCAAACAAGAAAAATACGAACAAATATTTTTTCAGAGCAGGTATGACAACAGTCATCATTTGTCTAAGTACAAAGGTTAAAGTATTTGGTCAACATCATGTAGACTAATTAAAGTAAAACAAAAATCATTTCTTTCCGTTACATTAAACACTTGATGATTATTTACAATTTTGTGTTTTTATTAAATATTCAAGTATAAACCCTATCAAAACAAGGAATGAAACATTCATTTATCATAACTTGTTACATGTTTCTGTAAAGCTAGAAAATATGAAAATACTGTAAAGCAAAAAATTAAATTCATTATTTTCAATCAAAAATACTTCAAACGGATCTGAGTATAATTCTAACTATATAAATACATGAAATTCAACAATATGTTTAGTTTGCCATAAAATTCTTTTATTTAAATTATTTAAAAAAAACATCAATAGTCCATAAAATTTGGAAAATCTTTCGTCCATATTTGTATATAAACATTTATCATTAGAATTTATACATCGAAAGAAAACAAGAAGATATATATAACAGAAGAAATTGTAGAGAAAAACATTGCATTTTATTACTATCACTCGCTATTGTGCTATTATCCTTATTGACTGGTGTACTCAATTCATTTCCTGATCGTTCAACAATTGCAATATCTGCACAATTATAAAATTCTTCTTGTTGATCAGCACAACCTAAACATTTTCTTCCTTTTTGATCTTTTCCCCATGTATTTCCTGCATGATATTTCCATTGAAGAACACAATGTTCACATGAAGTTATCTCTGCAGGTAATTCAACAGGTACATAAAAATAAGATTTATTTC